GGTAAAACTAGCTTACCAGAGTTTGCTCTGTTTATAAAATTCATTATATCTCATAAACAAAGACAGATAGGACATATATTTTTATGACTTTTTTCCATTATTTTTAGGCGTACAATCAGCTCTCGAAGTGGGGCCCACAAGTTACGAAACACCCTGTATAGGTGTGAAATTGAAATTGAAATATTCTTATTTCTCTTAATTAACTCGTTTCTCTAACATCAGTTTGTTTTCGACGTAGGCTCTTTCGGGATTTCGTTATAAGTTTAAAAATCTTCGTCGATTTAATCTTTATTTTACATACGTGTATTTATTAAAATATCGGAATAAAGAGAAAGATTAACAACTAATTTATTATTGTTCTCTTTTTCAGCTCGGTTTCGACAGCCACGTGAGGATACCATCGAGTAACGGGCTAAGCAACATTCCGGGTGGTAAACCGTACGTAACTTCAGTTAAAATTAAAGATAATCTTCTTTCGGATAATCTTCCCTAAAATTCGCTGAAAGAATTCCAGAGTATCTGAATCTTGCTAATTTTGTGGGATAGAGAATTTCGCAAATGCCCACAAATTAGCTTCGAAACTCATTTTGTTGGATAGAAACATTCGAATTCTAGGAAATTTGTATTAGCTGTTTGTTTCTTTATCCTAAAGATACAAAATGTGGGAAATTCATTTGGAAAAATTGGTAGTAGGAATGTAAGAGAAAGGAAATAAAGTGTAAGACACAATGTATAATAATACACGGAAATATGGGAAAGAGTATGTAACGAATATTTTATACAGTAGAAGGAAATCGGATGAGGGATATGGGATACAAACTATAAAAGTGGGATATGAAGTACGAGGTATAGAGTGTAGGATGAAGATGTTAGTATTGTTAGAACGTGAGAAAAAATATTTTTTCAGAGTAAAGAAAATGCAACGTAGAGTTATAGTAGGATAGAAGCATAGGATAAGTGAATAGGATGATTAAAATGGTGTATGAAATACGTAGTGTGAAGTGGAAATGTCAATAATGGAAATTGGGATAAAAGACAAGATGATTTCACTGAATATCGACGCTCTGTGATATAATAGTGACTGTTTAAATACTTTGGTAAATTTCCAAAGGTAACGAGGGCTTGGCAACCATTTTATTCGAAATCACTCACGCCAGAAATAATGTCCCCATCGAAAACATCCAACGTAAACCAACAATTCTAAAATTCAGTCGTCATTTTGCCAATAATCCCTGCACCTCCTGCGTGATCTGACTCGTCGCGCGCTTGACATTTCAATGGAAATAAACACGTTGCGACACGATCGCAAATTACACCGGATAGATCGTTCGCTGCTCCTGGGCATTTCTGAAAATGTCAACCAACCAACCGATCGCTCGCGTAATCTAAAAGGCGCGGCGGCGTTGATGCACGTATCGTTTTCGATCGGCCGCCTTTCGCGCTGCGCGGAGAGCTTTTAAGTAATCGAAGACATTCCATTACGTAAGGACAGTGGCATTAATAATGTTTTGCATTTCACCGCAGAGCGTACTCGTTCCATATGAACGGCGAGGGTCAACTGCAGCCGGTGCCATTCCCCACGGACGCTCTGATAGGGCCGGGAATTCCACGTCACGCGCGTCAGATTAATACCTTGACTCACGGCGAGGTTGTGTGCGCCGTTACCATCTCGAATCCGACCAAGTACGTCTACACGGGCGGCAAAGGGTGCGTTAAAGTCTGGGACATCGGGCACGGAGGTGGTGGCAATATCAAGCACGTATCGCAGTTGGATTGCCTGCAACGCGACAACTATATTAGGTCAGTCCGCGCCACGTTTTCACGTGGCGGGTGGTGTTGGTCCACCGTCTTTCAATATGCCGCTAACGTGGCCGTGAATTACGGCGGATTTATCGTATCAGGTCGTGATGCCGTGTGTGCTGCTGTTTCAGTTCAATTTTCTTTAAGTGACTGTGTGAAAGAGTTCTTGTTGCTGGTACGATGGTTTCATCATTGGCTGATTTGACGGGTGATTTGCGAGCATCAGTTTTAATGGGCCAAGGGATTTGAAAAGGCAATCTCGTTGAACGAAAGGGAGCGGAAGATTCGCGAATTTGATATCTGAATTTCTTTAATATTAGGAAAGAAGAGTTTTACAAAAATGTTAAAATTACATCAGTTTTACAAGACGAGGAGGGATAGAACGTATGAAAATTTGACGATCGAACGGTAACAAAAATTTACTTTCACGCTGAGAAGGAAGCGCTATCTCATTTCAATCTGTCAATGATCAAACCTATTCGTACCTTCGAAGTAAAATCGACTACGACCAACTAAAAAATACTTCGAAAGATGTCTTGCATCTCGGCAATGTAAAATACGATAAACAACAAGATACAGCAATAAGACGGTATAAATGAAATGGTTAATTCTCAAAAACTATTTTAGGTCGGTAAAATTACTGCCAGACTGCAGAACCCTGATAGTCGGAGGTGAGGCGAGTCAGCTGATCATCTGGGACTTGGCTAGTCCCACGCCGCGAATCAAAACGGAACTGACGTCAGCGGCGCCGGCCTGTTACGCGCTGGCCATCTCGCCGGATTCGAAGGTCTGCTTCAGCTGCTGCAGCGATGGTAACATCGCCGTGTGGGATCTGCAGAACGAGACGTTGATTCGACAGTTCCAAGGCCACACGGATGGTGCCTCCTGCATCGATATCTCGGCGGACGGTTCGAAACTGTGGACCGGAGGATTGGACAACACAGTGCGTTCGTGGGATCTTAGGGAGGGCAGACAGTTGAAGCAGCACGATTTCACCTCGCAGATATTCTCGTTGGGCTATTGTCCAACCGGTGAGTGGCTTGCAGTTGGTATGGAGAATTCGAACGTCGAGGTGCTTCACGCCTCCAAGTCCGACAAGTATCAACTGCATCTTCACGAGTCGTGCGTGTTGTCGCTGCGATTTGCCTCGTGCGGCAAATGGTTCGTCTCCACCGGCAAGGACAATCTGTTGAACGCATGGCGTACTCCGTACGGCGCTTCGATATTCCAGGTGTGTATACACACGTTTTTATTGGCGCCGTTACGAGCTTTTAGAAAGAGCTTTCATTGCTTTCGTAAACTTTTTACTGCCAGGCCTGTTGAGAATTTACAGAGTCGTTGAAACGTCAGGATCATGTCACCGATTAGTAAAGATTTACAGCGACGCTACAGTCATTGACCAATAAATGCCCACAGTTATACGATGTTTTGCAAATGTAGGATTAATCAATGCAGCTTCAGTCAGTTTCTTATTTTTTCTTAAAAAAAAAAAAAAAAAAAAAAAAAAAAAAAAAAAATTTTAAAAAAAAA